CCGAGCCAGGCCTGGCACCCCAATTTGACAAATTCTCTGAAGAATTTCATCTTGGAATTTGGTGACTTTGTGATGAAATAAGGCAAATGGGGTTAAGGGAAAAGAGGCACTTAAGGATGATGTCTAGGTTTTTTATTAGTTATCCTGGGGTCGTTGATTGTTAACACTTTCTGAGAGGAACAGGTTTGGAGGTGGGGACATTGAATTCAGTTGTGGTCATGTTAATATAGGTCATACTGAGGTTGGTATACATTTGGTAATCAATTGAATATTTAAGTTTTAATTCAGAGGAAAAGTTAATGATTTTAAATGTGGTTTAGGAAATTATCCAGATAGAGAAAGAAAGAGTGAGATGGAAAGTTCATAAGGAATGAGAAGAGCTATTTGCTAAGGATGGGTTCTTGGAGAACAAGAATATCTAAAGAGAAGAAATAGAAAAGGGATCCTGTGGACAATATTGAGAAAGAAGACCCAGAAAAGACGGGATATGATAACATAAAGAAGAGAGCAGTTGAGGAGTTTATTGACATCACCCAGAATGGCCATGCATCAGAACTGAAAAGAACCTATTGCATCTGGTAGCAAGAACATTAGAAAACATGTTTCCAGAAAACAAACAAACAGAACCCAGACAGTTTCCTTGAGTGATTAAGGGGATAAAAAATGAGCTTTGGGTTATCAGTAACAGAAAAGATACGAACAGCTAATGTAGTCTACTCTATCCAATAGACATTAATTGGAAGGGGAAGGAACAGAAGAAAAGATACGGAATCCAGGAAGCAACGTTTGGAGGAGGGAGGGACTTGAACCGGTGTGGCAACATCACTTTTCTCCTACTGTTATGGGCTGAATTGTGTCCCTCAAATTTGGTATGCTGAAGCCCTAACCCCCAGTACCTCAGGATGTGACTGTATTTGGAGAAAAGGCATTTAAAGAGGCAATTAATTGCATCAGAATTGGCAAAGAGGAAGTCAAACTTTCACTCTTCGCAGATGACATGATACTCTACATAGAAAACCCGACAGACTCCACCAGAAGCCTACTAGAACTGATCCAAGAATTCAGCCAAGTTGCAGGGTACAAAATCAACGTACAGAAATCGGTTGCATTTTTATACACCAATAATGAAGCAACAGAAAGAGAAATCAAGAAACTGATCCCATTCACAATTGCACAAAAAACCATAAAATACCTCGGAATAAACCTAACCAAGGATACAAGAGATCTGTATGATGAAAACTATAGAAAACTTATGAAGGAAATTGAAGAAGACACAAAGAAATGGAAAAACATTCCATGCTCATGGATAGGAAGAATAAATATAGTTAAGATGTCATTACTACCTAAAGCACTCTACACATTCAATGCAATTCCAATCAAAATTGCACCAGCATACTTCTCAAAACTAGAACAAACTATCCAAAAATTTGTATGGAACCACAAAAGACCCCGAATAGCCAAAGTAATACTGAAAAATAAAACCAAAACGGGAGGTATCACCATCCCAGACTTCAGCCTCTACTACAAAGCTGTCATCCTCAAGACAGTATGGTATTGGCACAAAAACAGACACATAGACCAATGGAACAGAATTGAGAACTCAGAAGTGGACCCAAAAGTATACAGCCAACTGATCTTTGACAAAGCAGGAAAGAATATCCAATGGAAAAAAGACAGCCTTTTTAACAGATGGTGTTGGGAGAACTGGACAGCAACATGCAGAAGAATGAAACTAGATCATTTTCTCACACCATGCACAAAAATCAACTCAAAATGGATAAAGGACCTGAACGTGAGACAGGAAACTATCAACACCCTAGAGGAGAAAGCAGGAAACAACCTCCTTGACCTCCACCGCAGCAACTTCTTACTTGACACATCCCCAAAAGCAAGGGAATCAAGAGCAAAAATAAACTGTTGGGACCTCATCAAGATTAAAAGCTTCTGCACAGCCAAGGAAACAACCCAGAAAATTAATAGGCAACCAACGGAATGGGAAAAGATAGTTGCAAATGACATATCAGATAAAGGGTTAATATCCAGAATCTATAAGGAACTCACCAAACTACACGCCCGAAAAACAAACAACCCAGTGAAGAAATGGGCAGAAGACATGAACAGACACTTCTCCAAAGAGGACATCCAGATGGCCAACAGACACATGAAACGATGCTCAGCATCCCTCCTCATCAGGGAAATACAAATCAAAACCACACTGAGATACCACCTCACGCCAGTCAGAGTGGCTAAAATGAGCAAATCAGAGAACTCTAGATGCTGGCGAGGATGTGGAGAAACGGGCACCCTCCTACACTGTTGGTGGGAATGTAAACTGGTACAGCCCCTCTGGAAAACAGTGTGGAGGTTCCTCAGGAAACTAACAATAGAACTCCCCTATGACCCAGCAATAGCACTGCTAGGAATTTACCCAAGGGATACAGAAATGCTGAGGCATAGGAGCACATGTACCCCAATGTTCATAGCAGCACTCTCCACAATAGCTAAAACATGGAAAGAGCCTAAGTGTCCATCAACAGATGAATGGATCAAGAAGATGTGGTTTATCTATACCATGGAATACTACATGGCAATGAGAAACAATGAAATCTGGCCATGTGTAGCAACATGGATGGACCTTGAGGGTGTTATGCTGAGCGAAATAAGTCAGGCAGAGAAGGACAAATATCATATGTTTGCACGTATAGGAGGATTAGGAGGAACTTGACGGAGGAACAAGGGGGAGAAGAAGGGCAGAAATGGTGGGGGAAAGGGAGAGAGGCAAACCATGAGAGACTCTTGAATGCTGACAAAAACTGAGGACTGATGGATGTGGGGGGGAAGGGGGGATGGGCATGGAGGAGGGCACTTTGGGGATGAGCACTGAGTGTTATGTAGAAACTAATTTGACAATAAACTATTTGTAAAAAAATAAAAAAATAAATAAAAGCTACAGCTCTTACAATGGCATTATAAAACTTAAAAAAAAAAAAAGAGGCAATTAAGGGGTGCCTAGTTGGCTCAGTCGGTTGTGTCTGACTCCTGATTTCAGCTCAGGTTACAATCCCAGGGTCTTGGGATCGAGCCATGCATGAAACTGTGCTGAGCATGGAACCTACTTAAGATTCTCTCTTCATCTGCCCTTCTCCCTGGCTCATGCTCTCTCTCTCTCTCTCTCTCTCTCTCTCTCTCTCTCTCTCTCTGTGTGTGTGTGTGTGTTTGTGTCTCAAATTAAAAAAAAAATCAGAGAGGCAATTAAGTTAAAAGGAGGGCATTAGAGAGGGCCTTCATCCAACTTGATTGGTATCTTCAAAAGAAGAGCAGAGAAGGACACACAGAAAGATACCAGAGGTGCTCGCATAGACTAATGACCATGTGAAGAAGTAGCAAGAGGCTGGTCATCTGCAAGCCGAAGCCAACTCTGCCAGTACCATGATCTTGGACTTCAGCCTCCAGAATTGTGAGAAAATAAATGTCTTTTGTTTAAATCAGCAAGTGTGCAGTGTTTTGTTTAGCAGCCCTAGTGGACCAATACACCTACTCAGAGGCCTTCTAGATAGTCACCTCTACACCACCCTGTTCCTTGCTAAAGGAATCCTGTTTTTGTCCAGAACCAGAGTGAGGTCACCCTTTCTGTTTCTCTTCATTTAAGTCAACTCGAGGGTCTCAGTTTGCCACACACATGAAAAGATGTTCAACATCACTCATCAAAAGGGAAATACAAATCAAAACCACAATGAGATACCACTTCACGCTGGTCAGAATGGCTAAAATGAACAACTCCGGAAACAATAGATGCTGGTGAGGATTGCACTCTTGGTGGGAATGCAAATTGGTGCAGCTGCTCTGGAAAACTGTGGAGGTTCCTCAAAAAACTAAAAACTAAAACTCGAACTGCCCTATGACCCAGCAATTCTGCTACTAGGAATTTATCCAAAGGATGCAAAAACTCTGATTTGAAGCAGCACATGCATTCCAATGTTTACAGCAGCACTATCAACAATAGCCAAATTATGGAAAGAGCTCAAATGTCCATCAACTGATACATGAATAAAGAAGAAGTGATGTACATATACAATGGAATACTACTTGGCAATGAAAAAGAATGAAAAATCTTCTACTTGCTACTTGCAATAAAGTGGATGGAACTAGAGGGTTATATGCTAATTAAAACAAGTCAGAGAAGAACATTATGTGATGTCACTCATGTGGAATTTGAGAAACTTAACAGATAATCTTAGGGGAAGGCAAGAAAAAATAAGATAAAAACAGAGAGGGAGGCAAACCACAAAGACTCTTAAATACAGAGAACAACCTAGGGTTGATGGGGAAGGGGCATGTGTGATGGGCATTAAGAAGGGCACTTGGGTATTAAATGTAAGTGAAGAATCATTGATTTCTACTACTAAAGCCAAGACTACACTGTATGTTAACTACCTTGAGAATAAAAATAAGTAAATAAAAGACATAAGATGCTTAAAAATTAATTAATTAATTAATTTTAAAAAGAGAAAGCCTCAGTTTGGGTCAGGAAACAAGGGTAGCTAAAGGAGGTAGTGAAAGTCAAAGAGATAGTTGGTAGATGGCAGATTGGAGAGTTAAACTCAGACCTTTCTGCTTCCAGAGCAAGGCTGTAACTCAGCCTACACTGCCACTTGGCTGTCACTTAAATGTGAACATTGGAGACACAGGGCTGGGAAAGAGAGCAGGTTAGCCACAGAGAGCTAGTGAGAGTTCTCCATTTGACTTTATGTATTTACTCCCACCACAGGTCATCATCCCACAAGAACTTGGTTGGTGTTGTATAGTTTGTTTATCCAACTGATTATCTCTCCATGGAGGGCTGTGATTGTGTTCTGCCCTTTTCTTTCTGAGCATCTCCTCCTACTTCTAAACTGTCCAAATCTTGCCAAGTTCTCCGCCCCAAGGGGTGGGAAGTTTTTTTGTGTATATAGTTCTGGGGACTTTTCTGATCAGAGAGAACTGAATATGCCAAGTTCCCATTTCTCTACCCATCCAAGACTAAGCCCAGCTCTTGCCTAGACAGTACCAGGTAAGACAGGTGAGTGACAGCTTCTTTGTGAAGTGTGTTTGTGTGTGTGTGTCTACCCAATTTCAAGTTCTGACTATGTCACTTAAGGGTTGGCAGACGTTGGGCAAGGCTCGTAACTCTTTTGACTCTTCATTTCCTTAAGTGCAAAAGGAGAATGGTGATATGGAGGAAAAGGATAAATGAGAATATATCTGTGATACACCAAGTGCAGTAGCCAGCATAGATGGTGATCTGTGTCATCTTAGGCAACTCTGAATGTGATGGGCTGTGGAAGAGGGTACAGAGGGAAGTAAGAATGACCCAGAAAGCGAACCCTTGAAAGAAAACTCCACTATGGAGAAGTTAGTTCATATTATATAAAGGGAATGTCTTTCATTAAAAAAAATATTTTTAATATCTAACGGGCAGTTGGCTTCAGAATTTGCTGAGAGTTAGCATGTCAATATTTATTTGGCCCTTATTGTATATTAGAAACACTGCTGGCATGGGGCGCCTGGGTGGCTTAGTCGGTTGAGCGTCCGACTTTCGCTTAGGTCATGATCTCGCGGTTTGTGGGTTCGAGCCCCGCGTCGGGCTCTGTGCTGACTGCCAGCTCAGAGCCTGGAGCCTGTTTCAGTCTGTGGCTCCCTCTCTCTCTGACCCTCCCCTGCTCACGCTGTCTCTCTCTCTCTCTCCTAGAAATAAATAAAAACATTTAAAAAAAAAGAAAAGAAAAAAGAAACACTGCTGGCAGCAGTTTAACTTATAGATTATCTCACTAATCCTTGTAGGAAGCCCCATAGTAGGTATTATTAGTGTGCTGTTGATTCCAGAGATACAAAAACAGTGACCAAGGGTACTAAGCTGGTAGGCAGTGCAACTAACGTTGGCTCTGTACCTCTAGGATCCCCTTTGCCACACTAAGTGTATTGCCTCATAAGCTAAATAGCTTTTTCAGTCCAAAGACTTGTGAAATCAGCTCTATAGCAAGAACTCTTGGGCAAATAATAGTGAGCTTAGCCACCTCTCAACACCACAACTCCATAGTGACTTCAAGATACACTTGAAAGCACTTCCAAAAGTGTTTCATTAATTTATTCCTGTTCCTTGTCTTTAGACCAATTCCAAAGATTAAGCAAGTGAGTTTCCCCCAGAGAAAGTGACAGCTAATAATAAGCTTCTGTTTCTGGAGCTCTCATCTGCACTGAGTCCTGCCTAACTGCTTTCGGTGGTATGTGATTTATTTATCACCACACCTGTGGGAAACAGGAGCTGCCAATATTTCCATATTTTAGAAAGAGGTTAGGAAAATTGCCCACTTACTTAGGTGGTGAGTGAATGGGCTGGAATGCGAAGTTATGATGTTTGAGTCCTAAGGACACACTCTCAGCTACCACAGTCCTCAGCTGGGCACTGTGTTTGGTCTTCCCATGTGGAGATTAAATTAGAATTCCAAACACGTTTCTAAGGTGATGCCAAAGTCATTTCTTTCTTATTTGATTACAAGAGATATATTTGTTTACTAGGAAATACCATAACAAAGTACCACAGACTGTGGGGGCTCCAACACAGAAATGTCTTTTCTCAGTTCTGGAGGTGAGAAGCGTGAGATGACGCTGTCAGCAGTGTTGGTTTCTTCTGAGGCCTCACTCCATGGCTTGTGGATACCTTTTATCACATGTGCATGTCATTTCCCCCCTATGTGGGTCAGTGTCCTAACCTCCTCCTCTTGTAAGGACACCAGTCATATTTGGTTTGGGTCCATCTAATGGCCTCATTTTAACTTAATCACCTCTGTAAAGATTCAGTCTCCAAACAGAGTTACATTCTGAGGTACTGGGGGGTTAGGACTTCAACATATTAATTTTTTTAAATAGTTTATTGTCAAGTTTGTTTCCATATAACACCCAGTCCTCATCCCCACAAGTGCCCTCCTCCATGCCCATCACTCCCCTGCCCCTCCCCCCACCATCTGCCTTCAGTTTCTTCTTGGCATTCAAGAATCTCTCATGGTTTGCCTCCCTCCACCCCACTATTTTTCCCCTTCTTCTCCCCCATGGTCCTTCGTCAAGTTCCTCCTAATCCTCCTATACGTGCAAACATATGATATTTGTCCTTCTCTGCCTGACTTATTTCGCTCAGCATAACACCCTCAAGGTCCATCCATGTTGCTACACATGGCCAGATTTCATTGTTTCTCATTGCCATGTAGTATTCCATGGTATAGATAAACCACATCTTCTTGATCCATTCATCTGTTGATGGACACTTAGGCTCTTTCCATGTTTTAGCTATTGTGGAGAGTGCTGCTATGAACATTGGGGTACATGTGCCCCTATGCATCAGCACTCCTGTATCCCTTGGGTAAATTCCCAGCAGTGCTATTACTGGGTCCTAGGGGAGTTTTATTGTTCATTTTTTGAGGAATCACCACACTGTTTTCCACAGGGGCTGCACCAGTTTGCATGCCCACAGTGTAGGACGGTGCCCATTTCTCCACATCATCACCAGCATCTAGGGTGCTCTGATTTGCTCATTTTAGCCACAGCATATGAATTTTGAGGGGATGCAATCCAGCCCCTAATAAAGGCTTAGCTATTTTCCTCATCATTTCTCTTCCTTGTGTTTCTGTCTTCAGCCACTTATTCAGGGGTTGTTTGCACTGACCTTGAGTATTTTAAGGAAGTTCTTGAGGTCATTTATACCTGTGCATGAAAACCTCAAATGAGTCTGGTATTCTTGTTCTTAATCAATTATTTGTGGAGGCAGGTATGTATTGGATGAAAGAACAGGGAAGGCAGGCTTCTAGACCCAGCTCTGCCACTATACTTGCCGTGCACTTTTGGGGAAATTCCTATCCCTTTGCAGATGTTAGACTAAATTCACAATTTTAAGCTCAAAATGCACAGGCTTGACAGGTACAGTCAGTGGAGAAGCAAGCAGGTGTGATCAAATAATGTGTGGCAGAAACTGATTCAAATGGGAGAACATTCCATTTAACTGAAGCATACAATTTTCAGCTTCAGTCAGGTGGTGCCAGTTTGAAATAAAGACCCCGTATTGCCAGACCTCCTACATTTTCAAGAGAAACCTTCAAGGCTTCTAAATGAAACCTCCCAAGATTTAAATGTTGAGCATTTAAAGTTTCCCTCCAGGGACACTTTGTCACTTAAGCATCTAGCTCTTGTTTTCAGCTCTGGACATGATCTCACAGCTTGTGAGTTTAAGCCCCACGTTGGGGTCGGGCTCTGTGCTGATAGTGAGGAGCCTGCTTGGAATTCTCTCTCTCTTTGCTCCTTCCCCACTCAAGCTCATTCATTATCTCCCCCGCAGTCTCTCATAAATACATACATACATACATACATATATACATTAATTTTTTAAAAATCTTTTAAAATTTCCCTACAAAACCAAGAGCCAACAGGAGTATGTCTAAGGGCCAGGTCTACACCAGCTGGTCTCTTAGAGCCTTTCTAGTCCAAAAGTGCTCTGATAAAACAAAAGATGGTACTGTTGATTGACAGAAGCTAAAAACAAATGGGGCATACTTTACTTAGTTCATGTGGCCCAAGGATCCGCGCATACAAGCAAACTCTAGGGAATAAATTTTTCAATTATCCTCTTTTCTGCAGACAGTCATTCAACCGCGTATTTAGCAGTGCCTCCCCTACTAGGGTTCTAGGGACACCATCAAAATTGGGGTTAGATTATTTGTCTAAAGTGCCTGAAAGTAAATTGAGCCTGGTTTTATTGATCTAGTCTGTGGACTTTCATCATGCAGGTATTATCTGACTGCTGAAATCAAGGGCGAGGAGACTATTGTTTATAGACATATAGTGCTGAGATCACAAAGCTTGTTTGTGAAATGGTTTCCTTCAGTCCGCATTCTCTTGGATAGATAGTTCTAGCTTAAGCCAATTTTCACAATCATCAATAATAACAAGTGAACTTTGTGCTCCCATGTAAGAGGTCTTTGTTGGGATCTGGAGTGGCAAACAGTTTCATTTCATGGGTCGACTCTGATGGGTTGGTGATAGCTGCCTGGAATGTTGTCCTGGGAATGATTCCTGCCCCGGCCTGGCCAGAGCTCAGTCCTCTAGCACAGGTGTTGTGATATTACCCTCATCGGTCCTGAGTATGGTGCTGTATATTTATCAATATCCTTATAGTCTCAAGTGACAGAAAACCAACCTCAGGCAGGAAAAATTATTGGCTCATGGAATCCAGGAGAGGATATTAACAAGAGGGGGGGAGAGATGCTGATGGGTCTTGTGTTGTTCCTATTCTAGTGAGCTGAAACAAAGCTATTACTCTATTCATTTTATGGAGGAAATTACTATTCCATGACCAATCTAGTGGCCATCTCTTCCCAAGGCAGGTGGTGACCTGAGAATTCTGTGCCTGCTTCTTGACGCCTGCGCCACCATGGAGAGGCTGATGAGGTTCCAAGACCCCAGGGGCAACCGCCAATCCTACAATGACTTTCACCCTGCCCTGTGGTATCTTTGCTGCCAGTCTTCACCAGGAGCTGGAGCCCTGAGATGGAATGACCATGATAGACCTGAGGAATTTAACTTTGCAAGTGATGTCCTGGACTATTGGACTCAAATGGAGCAGGTAAGGAGGCACTCATGATGGATGTGAGAACAGGATTGGCCTTACTGACCTTATCATGATCTTAATAGACTGAGGGGCACAGAACTAGTAATGGCTTCTGCCTCAGCTTAGCAGTGTTGTGGGAAAACCTAATGTTTGGGGGTTCAGTTCTCAGCCTAGTCACTTTCTCAGTCCTCTGAGCCTCAGTGGTTTTATCTATGAAATGGTGATAGTCTCATTTCAGAGACAAGATAGCAGGTGAAAATATCTGTTACACAGTCATATAATTGTGACCAAATTTTCTAATGACAAGGTCTGCAAGTTGGCCTCAGTCGGAATTCTTACCTTCAACTCATTCAATTCTTACCTTGAGCTCATAGGTTCAATGAGACTATGAGCCTAACTAGAATATGTTTCATTACTCTTGGACTTAACTTCAGGCTACCCTCAGAGGGAAGGGACAGATCACCTGATTGTACACATGAGCATATGACACATGTAGGTAAATCATGTCATCTGTCATTCTGTGAGGATGGCCTGTACTGCTGGATTCCTCCCATTCAACTACATACTTGAGTGTAACTTCAGGGTATATCCAGAGAAAATTGCTCCTATGGTCTCTAGAGATTATGCATGTCTACAGAAAAACCCAAGTGCTCAGTTTAGCTTTCTCCTAGAGACAGACCAAGAGAGGTGCAACAGGGCCATTAGGAGTTGAGTAGACAGTCCATGGTGCCCCAGCTACTGGGTCCCAGCTGGTGACGTCCACAGTGAGAAAACTCACCCAACACTGTCTGTGGCCAGAAGTTACCTGCGATACAGCCAGAGAGTTCATATAATTTTTAAATTTCCCATGAACCTGCATTGATATGTTAGTATTAAACTAATGTGGGGGTTCCTCCCCATCTCCTTCTTTTTCCTTTCTCTGAATTCCCATAATAATACCAAGGGAGGGCATTTTTTAATATGTACTTTTTAAAATGCACTTTGCATTTACTACAATGATTAGATGAGCATTTTCATCATCCCCACTTTCTAGAAGAAGGAACTGAGGAGCCAAGCGTTTAAATAACACACAGAAACCAGCACATACCTAATAAGGGAAAGGACAGGATTTGGGTCCAGGCTATCTGATTCTGCAATACATTATTTTGCCTGGTCTCACAATTTGATGATACCAAACCTCTCTTCCTTCAGACTCTAAACTGACTTTCATCATGACCTGACCAGTAATGTAGTTAAGAACTTTTGAACCATGAGATGAGCTGGAGAGGGAAGAGGTAGAGAGCAAGAAGTGATACCATCACATTCCCCCTGTTTCTAGTCCTAATAGGTAGTTAATGCATCAACTCATGGAGATAATCTCCAGATAAGTATTACCCCAGGGGTGCCTCATCTTTGTTGTGTTTTATATCACCATAGTTGATCCTTGTCCATTTCTTCATGTATCCAAATTCTCCCTGTCCCCAGCATCCTCATGCCAATAATATTTATTCTCCCAACGCTTCTCACTTGTCTGTTTCCACTTAGCCCCAACTTGCATGGGGCCTATCACCGAGCTGATGCTCAGTACACACTGATGGAATACAGTGTTGAAACCTGCCTTACAAGCCCCACAGGGTTTGACATTGTTCCTTTGAAAGACCCTCCATAGAGTCGACTGTAGTCCACTGTGTCTTCCTGGACCTCCCTATACAACTTAACATGCACCATCCAAGCACTGATCCATGGCCTAAGATGCAATGCCACACAAACCATAATAGAGTGATAGAATTTATTTTAATCCACATTTCAATATATTTTATTTATAAGATATAAGTTAGAAAGCCAGTATTTTTATGTGAAATCTTCAAAATGTGTCTGTGTTTGTGTGTGTATGTGTGTCTATGTTTGTGTGTGTTATATTATATATATTATTTCATTATTATATATTATAAGTATATATTACATTATTATTATATATTTATTATATATGTGTGTGAATTAGTTATAAAATAATCTTTTTAAAAATTTTTGTGTTTATTATTTTTAAGAGAGCACAAGCAGGGGAGGGCCAAAGAGGGATGGGGACAAGATCCCAAGCAGGATCTGTACTGAAAGCAGCAAGCCCAGTGCAGGGCTCAAACTCATGAACCATGAGATCATGGCCTGATACAAAGTCAGGTGCTCAACTGAGTGAGCCACCCATGTGCCCCAATAATGTTATTTAATAATTTCATTCAGTGCCTACCATGTGCCCAGGCATTATCATATACACTTTACCTGTTTAAATAACTCATTTAAACTTTACTAATTTCTAGGTAGTACTGTACCCATTTCATAGATGAGAAATATACCTGTTTCATAGATGATAAAACTGAGGCACAGAGGAGAACATACTGTCCATATGGAACTAAGACAGACACATGGAGGAATGAAATTTTAAGGCTTTAACAGGTGACATGGAGCTCTTCTTGGTTTTATGTGACTTGAGAGGAGGTGGCTCAGTAGACCAGAAGAAGTAGGCTGGATCATACCCTACCCACTTCTCTTGGTTCTAGAAATGCTTCTAAATTAGATCTCAGTTCTTGAGCTACATTTTCATGTAACTGTGGTAGACTGGCCAGATAAGTGCCCTTTTCCTTTAACCTAGGAAGTAACACATGGTATTTGATCTTGACCAGGAAGGAAAGAGAGGTCCAAACCCAGCCCTGTGGTGGGTGAATAACCAAGGGGATGAAGTGAAGTGGAGTTTCAGAGAGATGACAGACTTATCCTGCTGTGCAGCCAACGTCTTCACCCAGACCTGTGGCCTGCAACAAGGAGACCGCCTAGCCTTGATCCTGCCTCGAGTGCCTGAGTGGTGGCTGGCGGTCATAGGCTGCATCCGAGCAGGTAGGTAACTCAAAGAGACCCTAACAGGTTTTAGGTCTCACCTAGAGCTGATGGGTCCTGAAATAATAATCTTCCCTGACCTTTTTTTCTTATCCTTCATATTCTTTCTCTTTCACAGACTCCTTCAAATATTCTTCTACTCCTTCTCACTCTGTCCCTCATACTTATACACCCTTAAACACAATGTCATAACTCTCTAATTCACACAGACACACGCACACATACACACATACACACACTTTCTCTTGCAGTCTCATTTTTTGCTTTTAAAAATCAATCTATTTGCTAACATTTTGCCCCCCTCCCGCACTGACTCATTTAAGTATCAGTTGCAGACATTGTGACATCCATAAACACCAGATAAACACCTAAGACCTGGAGCATGTATCTGCTTTGATCCATGACATTCTCCTCACATAACCAGAACAGAGTTATCACACAAGACGCGTAACTTTGATATAATATACATCCATAGCCATAGCCAAAATTCTGTAATTGTCCCAATAGTGTCTTTTGTAGCAATTTTTTTTTGTTGAAATCCAAAATCCGATAGAGGATCATGCATTGCATTGTGTTGTCAGGTCTCCTCAGTCTCCATTAATCTAGGCTTTTCTGCATGACAACATCTTGGAAATGTCTAAACCAGTTGTTTTGCAGAAGCTCCCACAAAATTTGTATTTCCGACTCATTCTTCAGGATTATATTCAGATAAGCATTTTTAGTAGGAGCTCTAGAAGGACAACGTGCCTATCTCAGTGCTCTACATCAGGAGATACCTGAAGTCAGTTTGTCCTATCATTGGTGATATTATTGATAAACACTTTGCCTTACAAGGCACCGTTTCCCTTTGGAATTAGTAAGTAACCTGGGCTCTAATACTTATGAGACTGTGTGAATATCCTGTCCCCCAACTGTCTTTCTCCCTATGACTTGAGAATCCATTGATGATTCTTGATTGATTTGGATATTATTATGGTGGTTTTATATGAGAATTTTCTAATTATGTTATTCCCTCTACCCTTATTAGCATTCTTCTGTGGAGATTTCCAATTCCCTTTTAATTGCCTATCTATTCATCTCTATAATTTAGAATTGGTGTGGGACTCTTGAATTCTTTTTTGAAATGCTTTATAATGCATATATTTCCACACAAACAAAATACTCCATTAATCCATCAGGTCATGTGGAATCAGGAATTAGTAGCAACAACAGAGAGAGTATAGAGAAGCCGTATCATCTGTAGAGCTAAGAGATGGTACAATGGAAATCCAAGATATGAACTGAGCCCTCTGGGATAGGTAGCATAAAAGAAGAATAGGAGCAAAGGAAGGGAATTCCAACAATGGGCATAGCACATGCAAAGACTTAGAGTCAAGAGAAGCCTGTGTGGAGAATAGCCATATTGAAATAGGGAATAGATTTGTAAGAGAAAAAGGTGGAAGGTGGGCAGTGCCTTCAGTGTTGGGTGGAGAGTATGATGCTTTCCTGGAGAGAGGGCCCAGGTGCTGGTGAAGAGCAGAAAAGTGGAGGGGGGAAAGTCAGTGTTCTGTGGAACCTGAACAGGTAATAATATGGAAGAGGGTAGTAGCAAGGTTCAGGACGAGGCATCTGGTGGAAAGATTAGAACCCAACAGGGGCACACAAATAATTGAACTAACTGTTGGGGATGGACGATGGAAGGGAATATAGAAAAGTTAAGAGGATAATGTACTTAAATTTGGATTGAGGAGTGAAGAAAAGAGAGGAGATTCAAGATGACACAAGGGACTGGAAGAGGAGGAAGTGAGAGGAGAAAAATGGAGGTAAGGATGCAGCTAATCCTGATGTCAAAGACACTATCCTACTTATGTCGATATTCCCAGATACCGTGTAAAGTAGGACTTGACTGTCTACTGGCTTGATCCATCTAGCAGAGAAGAGGTTAGGACAGGCTTTTCAAATTTCAGTGTGCATGGAAACCCTTGGAGAGCTTCTTAAAGTACAAATTCTGATTCAGTAGGATTGGGATGGGGCATGAGATTTTGTGTCCTGGGTGGTGCTGATGGTACTGGTCCACAGACCATACATGGCACAGGAAGAAGCTAGCAGCTTTCGATGCAGGTAAGCCAGACTTGAAACCCAAAGGTTCCTTTTTTATCCGCAGGTATAATCTTCATGCCAGGAACCACCCAGATGAAGGCCAAGGACATTCTCTACCGATTACAAATGTCTAAAGCCCAAGGCATCATGACCATAGATACACTTGCCCCAGAGGTGGATGCTCTAGTTTCGGAATGCCCTGCTCTCAAAACAAAGCTCCTGGTGTCTGACCATAGCCATCAAGGATGGCTAGACTTCCGATCACTGATTAAGTGAGTTTCTGTTCTGATGAATGTGTTTTCTAAGGAAGGGCAGGTGAAGACCATTCACTCCCAAGTGTTGGTAGACAGACATTCCGTCGGAGTAAAATATCGTGGACTGATGCCAGAAGCCTTCCTTTCCCAGCTATGCCACTGATTTGTTGTGTGATCCTGAGCTGGTTCCTTCCCCTTCCTTGGATACAGTTGCTTTCTTTGTAAAATAAAAGTATTGAACTTCTGTGCTCTGTCACTAAAGTATAAGCACTTTAGTACAATGGAGAGGAGTTAGAGGGTTATTGTGTTGAATCTTCCTTGTAGGTAGGGAATCTGAAATATTATTTTTACATAACAAACAAATATATGGAGAGGTTGAGTGAAAGATTAAGATGAGTTTTTTAAAAAAAATTTTATGTTTGTGTATTTTTGAGAGACAGAGAAAGACAGGGCATGAGCGGGGGAGAGGCACAGAGAGAGGGAGACACAGAATCTGAATCAGGCTCCAGGCTTTGAGCTGGCAGCACAGAGCCTGATGCGAGGCTTGAACTCATGGACCACAAGATCATGACCTGAGCTGAAGTCAGAGGCTAAACCAACTGAGCAACCCAGGCTCTCTTAAGATGAGTGTTTAAGGGAAAACTAGAGACTGCAAGAAAAATTGAGGCTGGGGCTGGTAGGCAGCTGGAGGAGTAAACACTTTCCATCTCTTAGGTGCTGTGTACCTTTAGCGACACCTTCAGGGAAAGTTAGGGAAATGTTGAAAGTAGGAAAGACCCCTTCCACCTCAATCACTCTGACTCTGTAAACCTTCAGGCATTTTTTTATCACCTGCAAAGCATGCAGTGTTTGTTTTCTTAAAGTAACCTCTAGTATTTAAAGTTCTTTACTTCAGCCTCAAAAGGCAAATATTACACTGAAGTCACATCTTTGCTGGATTTTAAAGTCAGAGAACTAAAAGAAAATGGCTTCAATTAAGAATATTCTTTGGGTGCCTGGGTGGCACAGCCAGTTGAGCATCTAACTCTTGATTTCAGCCCAGATTATCATCCCAGGGTTGTGGGACCACTCCCCGCATCGGACTCTCTGCTGAGCGTGGATCCTGCTTAAGATTCTCGGGCTTTCTGACTCTGTCTGTCTGTCTCTCTCTCTGTCTCTCTTTAAAATAGTATTTAAAAAAAGAATATTCTTTAGACTCACTTACATCACCAAAATCAACATGGTACCATTTCTCAGCAAGAGTTGGTGTTACCTACAGCCTGGGGATCATTTGCAGTTTCTCTGATTGAACACCATAGGGAGTTGGCATTTTGTAAGCAGACCCAAGGGACAAACTGTCTGTCAGTCTGGAAGCCCCCAAGAATCAAGGTACATTGGGGGGACTCCAGGCTATACCTACCATCTCAAGTTTACTCCAGGGCAGGTGTGCATTTATGTTTATTTTACTCTCCCTCATTTTCTCTTCTCCACTCCTCATGGCCAAGGTTATAGGGTGAAATCCTATAAAGCTCGTAATTGAAAAAAACAAAAAACAAGTTTAGAAGTGTGTTTAAAAGCACAGTCTGAGGATCGGACTGAATTTGAGTCCTGGTTCTGCCACTTGCTGGCTATATGTCTTCAGGTAACTAATGTATACTTTCTGAACCTCAGTTTCTTACTGCAGAATGGGCACACTAGAACTCCTTCCTCTTTTAGGGTTGCTCTGAAGTTTGAATGAGTTCTACTTGAAAATCACGTAGAGCACTGCCTGATAGTAAGTGCTATCACTTACTATCACTTTCAATGTTTATTACATTAAAAAGTAGTCCACTATATTTTCTCCCTTATTTAAATCAAGAAATGTCAGTCTGTTTATCCAAGTACTCACAAATTCCATTTGATTCCTCATACAAAGAGAACTAGTTTTTCCTCCAGTGTTGTAAACTTCCATTTTTCTGACTCCAAACCCCTCACATTGGATCCCTTGGGATCCAAAAGAAGGAAATGTGACATGTCTCCTTTTGTATTGAATCCCTTTGCAGATCAGCATCCCCAGATCACACCTGTATTAAGTCAAAGACGCTGGACCCAATGGCCATCTTCTTCACCAGTGGGACAACAGGCCTTCCCAAGATGGCAAAACACAGTCATGGGCTTGCCTTGCGATCTTCTTTGCCTTCATGGTAGGAAAGAAGGCATTGACTTAGCTGCTGGGCCACAGACCAGGGGTGGTGTGTGTATATGTGTGTACATGTGTGTGTACATGGATGTGAACGCATGTGTGGGATGGTAAAAGAGCTCTAAGTAGAATTGACTCCAACCTGTTTCTTCTGTCTGGGCTCTTTAATTTAGACTCCTGAGAATCTTGAGAGGTAGACACTGGGAATCCTAATGGTTTGCTGACAGAGGCCTCTGGACACAAAGGAGGCCCATTTAGGTCCTGCCTGAGCACCTTTACAAGAGGTGTATAGGAATTGTGGGTGGGGACAGCAGGCATTCAGCAAACCACAAAAATGACAAGCCATTGTGTCCTTGTCAATTGACTCAGGGTTTGGTGGCAAAAGACAGAATGTTTTAACAATGTCACCTGAAGTGACCGGTCCTTTCCATTTCCCAATTATGAACAAATGAAACGTGGAGTTACTTAGTCATGAGCTCTTGGGAAAAAGGGTAATGGAACCAGGCAACAACATGCCACTGCTCCTAATCTAGAAAATCAATCATAGAGGCTGAAGCTGTAGCCTTGGGTTAATCATTTAATCCATTTTCAACCGAGCCTCTTCTCCTCTCTGTCCCTACCCCAGGTAATAATATTCAGACCTAAAAGTTCTATATACTTTCTAACTTATTATCAGACCAGAGGGCAGACCAGGCTTTTAATTGACAGTGGCTCTCTGTACACATGTAGCGTTACGCAGTGGTAGCAGTTGAATAGGAAAACCCTGGAGGAATGGGGGTGGAAGGAAGGCAAGGGCTTTCTGTGCAGTCTGATTAGTTACAGCAGAGGGACAAAGTTATTAAAATTGGTATTATAGGGGCGCCTGGGTGGCTTAGTCGGCTAAGCCTCCGACTTTCGCTTGGGTCATGATCTCGCGGTTCGTGGGTTCGAGCCCCGCGTCGGGCTCTGTGCTGACTGCCAGCTCAGAGCCTGGAGCCTGTTTCAGTCTGTGACTCCCTCTCTCTCTGACCCTCCCCTGCTCACGCTGTCTCTCTCTCTCTCCTAGAAATAAATAAAACATTAAAAAATTTAAAAAAAAAATAAAATAAAATAAAATTGGTATTATAAACTACAAAGACTCTGGGATATCTCGTGCTCAGCCTAAGTGATAAGGGACATATGGAAGGAGTTGGGAACCAGTGAGCAGGGCCCAGGATCTAGTGGCCTTAGTATAGAATTTAGAGTCTTTTAGGCAAATGATGGGGAGGTATTGGAGCAATGGGATGTATTTCAGCTAGGGAAAGACCTGATCAGATTTGTGTTTCAAAAGATCACTGTGGCTGCAAGATGAAGGGAGGCAGGACGGATTAGGATCGGCTGGGTTTGAGGTTCCTGAGGGACACTGCAGAAGAGATGTTCAGTGGGTACTTGGGTGTGAAGCTGAGAAGACAGGTCTTCCTAGCTAGTAATATTCTGTGGGTGAGCCACAATCCTAAGAGGGCTGTGATGAGGGAGGGTGGATTGTTTATCCAATCCCTTTCCTGCTCACAGTAAAGCTCCTCAGAGCCATAGTCTGCTAATGGGAGGATTGTGTTTTCTCAAGGAGTTACACACAGACATCCCTCAAAAGCAGTAAGATAGGATAGAGAAATGAGAAACCTTTCCCACCCTGCTTTTCATTATTGCCCTAGTGAATAATTGTTTCCAGTCCTTCGCCAAGATGGGATATTAGTTAGTGCATGCTCTCTCTTTCTCTCTCCCTCTCTTTGTATCTCTCTCCTTGTGCTCCTCTCTCTTTCCCTTTATCTTTCTCCATCACAAATGACAGAAAGCCCAATCTAACCCTCCTTAGGCCTAAGCATGAAAAAAGGAATTTTTTTGGATCGTGAGACAGGGCACTTCAGGGTTTGGCTTCTGACATAGCTAGTCTTTGGGTCAGATTTTCAAATCTCCATCTGCTGTGTTTTGATGCACTTCTCAGAAAGGCGTATCCCTTGTTAACCCAAATGGCTGCCAGCATAACCTAGGACTGTGTAAGTAACAGAGTCAATTCCCAGGCTTAAGGATCATTATAATGAAACCAGTTGAAATCACACATGACCAGAAAATAGAATTTGGCATGTTTTAGGGACCTGGGGCAAGAGTGTGTCTGGATCCCCCTCAAACCACATGCACTGAGAATGAGAGTTGGGTCTACCCTGAAAATCAGAGTCCCTAGGCCTCGATCACATCCTCTCATGTTCACCTAGCTGAGGCCACTGTGTTTTGGAGTTAGCAGGCAATTACTGCAACTGAAGACATCTGATGTCCTCTGGTGCCTTTCGGACCCAGGCTGGATTCTGGCTATCTGGGCGTGCATGTTTGAACCATGGACAGCAGGATCTACAGCCTTCGTTCATCATCTGCCCAAGTTTGACCCAAAGGTCATTCAACAGGTAAGAAGATAAACCTTCCAGTACTAACAAACTCCTAGAAGACACTCAACGTTTCAAACTCAAAAGCTGGGCCTGCTGAGAAATATTTTATTTAGCAGAAAGTCTCATTAGCATAATATAAACCTGGTTCTGGGTTTCTCAAAGTTTGGAGCACTGAATTAGTTACTGTATGAGAATCACGTTACATGAAACCTTGAAGAAAATGCATATTCCAAGCCCTCCTCCAGCCCTGTGAAACAGACCTCATGGGCTTGAGACCCTGAATAAACATTATCAGAAATTAACCCAATGAGAGCAAGCTCAGGTCTCTAGGATCCTGGATCCTGGATCTGCTAGAGACAGGTGGCTGGTGTGTGTGTGTTGTTGTTGTTGTTTTTGTTGTTATGGTTGCTGTTCAGTTTAATGAAGTTTCAAAACAGAGCTCTTAGAAAATGCAAATCTAGCTTCTTATCCCATGTGTGACATTTATTTGTTGTTTACCTCCTACTCTGAGCTTCAGGTTCCTCATCTGTAAAAATGGGAGTTTTACAAACTCATATGTCACAAAATCATTGAAATATACATGAGATGGTACAGGAGAAGTGGGTGAAGTGCTTAACCCTGAGTTGGCACATGAGAGGTACCCAGGAAGCAGTGGTGGAGGCTGGTATTGTTAGGTGTATTTCATGGTTATAACTCAAGGCACCCATGTGAACCCTCTCATTGTACTTCCATTCACCTGAAAATGCTCTCCACGCTCATCTTTGCTTTCCATCTCAGAGGTAGACCTGCCTCCCCCCCTCTCCAAGTCCAGCCCCTCCCTCACTGTCCCTGCAGATCCTGTTCTTTTCTGTGTCCTTCTCTTAGGAACCCTTCTCATTCATCTTCCATCCATGAAACCTTTTCTCCTGTATTTTCAACCTCTCACGTTCCCCCTGCCCACTAATCTTTTGTCTATTAAATCTTTTCTCCCATGTTTCAACCTCTTCCTCGTCATTAGCTGTATTCACCCTTAGTCCATAAACATATTCATAGTTCCTCATCCTAAATATTACCTTCAGTTTACCCTGGTAGACAGTGGACCAACGCAGTCTTTCCTCCTTTAATATCAAATTTCTCTATAGAACATTCTCTACTTGCTGAAGACACATCCTCATCACCCTTCTTACCCCTGAACACTGCAGTCCTCCAACAGCCTATCCTCACCGTTCCTCTTCCTTGTAAACAGTCTCTTCTACTTCCATTTCACCAGCATGGGCATCCAGTCAAAGGGCTCTCAAAACTGTACTTTGGGTCTAGTCACCCTCCATGCAAATTCCCCCTTGGTTATCTACCCCAAGTCCATCTGATGATCCCTCCAGCACATCAGACTACATTTCCCACTTCTCATTCCCCACCTGTCAATATCTCCCTCTCCATCATTGTTCACTGCTCACATCCTGCCAGTCCCTGAGGCTTAACGCTGCACAAAGAACACAGAATCTACCTTTCCTCTCCCCCCTCCACTAAGTACATGGGTGTCTCCAAAGTCTCAGTGTATTTTAAGCTTGAATTATTTCAAATTATTAATTCTACATATTTACATACATATGTACATAGACACACACAAACACTAGCATTTAAAAGTTTAATTATTTTAATTATTTTTCACTTGTGGGGCCGTTGGTGGCTCAGTTAGTTAAGTGTTGGTCTCCCGTCTTGATCTCAGGGTTGTGAGTTCAAGCCCTACATTGGGCTCCATGCTGGGAGTGAACCTACTTTAAAAAAATGAGCTGAAGACATGAGCAGACATTTATCTAATGAAGACATCCTCATGGCCAATAGGCATGTGAAAAGATGCTCCACATCACTCCCCATCAGTGAAATATAAATCAAAACCACAATGAGATGTAACCCCACACCTTTCAGCATGGCTAAAATCCAAAAAACAACAAATAACAAGTGTTGGCGAGGAGTGGAATAAAAGGAACCATCATATACTGTTTGGTAGGAGTGCAAGCTGGTACAGCCACTGTGAAAAACAGCATGAGATTCCTCAAAAAATTAAAAATAAAATTACCACATGACTCATTAATTGTACTACTGAGTTACTTCTCAAATAATACAAAAACACTATTTCAGAAGGGTATATGCACCCCTGTGTTTATTTTAATATTATTTACAATTGCCAAATTATGGAGCAGATCAAGTGTTCATTCATAGATGAATGATTAAAGAAGATGTGGTATATGCATATGTGTGTATAATGTGTGTCTGTGTGTGTATAATATTTCTCAGCCATAAAAACTAATGAACTCTTGCCATTTTCGACAACTTGGATGGATCTACAGGGTATAATGCTAAATCAGTCAGAGAAGGACTAATACCATATGTCTTTACTCATACGGAAATTAAGAAACAGTAGAAACAAAGAAAGAGACAAACCCAAGAACAGACTCTTAACTATAGAAAACAAACTGATGGTTACCACAGGGGAGGTGGGGGTAATGGGTGGAATAGGTGAAGGGGATTAAGAATACACTTATAATGATGAGCAAGAGTCGTACATAGAATTGTTGAAACACTATATTTTAAATCTGAAACTAATATAACATTCTATGTTAATTATACTGGAAATAAAAAGAGAGAAGGGAAGGAAAGAAGGAGAGAAGGATGGAATAGGAAGTTGATTGGACTCATAAAGAGAGGGGCTGGGTTACCTAGGTGCCTCAGTCAGCCGAGTGACCAACTCTTGACTTTGGCTCACGTCATGATTGCAGCGTTCTGGGGTCAAGCCCTCTTTGAGGCTCCACATTGAGCATAGAAGCTGCTTGAGATTCTCTCTCCCTGTCTCTCTCTCAAAAAAATAAAAAGAGCGACAGAGAGAGTAGGCAGATTTCCCCCATGTGCCCATTACTCTTCCCTATGGTTATGTATGGAAGCTATAGATAATTCCCATTTTACAAATGAGGGAACAGAGTCGCAGAGGAATCAAATAACAGGATTGAAGTCAGGCAGGCAGACCCCAAACCCACATTCTGTCTCTTGAGTCTTCGTTGCTCTCCCAGGGTATCTCCAGCCTGATCCTAAGCTGAAAGACTCCCACCTCTAGCAAAACAAGGGTGACTACCAGACAGTTTAGACTCTATCTGATCTCTAATGAACCTCAGTCTTTCTGAACTTCTCCTGTCTGTATCTAACTTCAGTCTTCCTAAAGTTATTTCTTGTTCCTCTCCTGTCTAAATAAACCATATTTCGACTATCCTTCAATATTTCTTCAACTCCGGAGACTTTGCTCCTGTTACTTCTTCTATCTGCAAGAACCTCCTCCATTCCTCTGCCTGTGGAGACCATATCCATTTCTTAAATACCTCAGCTAGATAAATGCCACCTGTTCCATGAGGTTCCTGGATCACCCAATCAGAAGGAGTATTTCCCTCTGATAAGTTCTCCTTCCAGTCTCTCCTATGAGACTCTATGAGAGAAATCTCCCAGTTTCTGCCTTACCAGTTGAGTCCTGTTTTATCTCCTGTATTAGTAGACACTCCCAGTTGCGATGTTGTCTAACTCTTGTATTTCCCCCAACAGTGCCTGATCCGTGCCACATAGAAAATCCATGCTCGATATAGGCATATTGAAAGAACTAACAAATGAATAGGGCTCTCCTACAGAGGAGATCAGAATTAAAGTGGTAATAACTGATATGTTAAATCTTTACTATTAGAATTCCTTCTTTCCTCACTTTCTAGACATTGTGCAAATACCCCATCACCCAGTGCGTTGCTGCTCCAGCTGTGTATCGGATGACTCTACAGCAGATTTCTACCAGGTATGGTAGAAGTGGTGGGAGCTGGTCATAACAATCTTTGGTTAGGAATTTAAGGAATCCAGTGTACTGCAGTCTGACTTTTTAACTGTGGTTCTTTGAGGGGTTGTGTGAGTGTGTGACTGGTAAGTTAAGTGTTGGTGTTGATAATTATCACTAGTCAGTCTAATTAATTAATTAAAGTGGGACTCAGAGATCCAAATGAAATGCTCAGTGGGCCGTGCATTATTGTAGGTTTATTATTTTGTGAACATTTTTCTTATGAAAGAACAAACATACGGAAAAAGATATAACACATAAATGTATAGATTAATGAAATGTTGAAAATAAAATACCTATGTCACCACTCACATGAGTTACAAAAATAGAACATTGCCCACACCCCAGAGATACCTGCATGGCTCTCTATCTTCCCAAAAGAAACTCATATCTTGACTTTTTTGGGGTTAATTTCCTTATTTTCTGTTGTAGAAAACCTCCTAAGTAAATAACTCTAAATGTAATTTTTTTTTAATGTTTTATTTATTTCTAGGAGAGAGAGAGAGAGAGGAGACAGCGTGAGCAGGGAAGGGTCAGAGAGAGAGGGAGTCACAGACTGAAACAGGCTCCAGGCTCTGAGCTGGCAGTCAGCACAGAGCCCGACGCGGGGCTCAAACCCAGAACCGCAAGATCATGACCCAAGCGAAAGTCGGACGCCTAACCGACTAAGCCACCCAGGCGCCCCTAGAGTTCTTATTAGCATAATTTCTGGTAATGTTATATGAAGGTAATTTAATTCTCATTCATTATAAAAGTATCCTATCTTCTGTGAATACCAAACAATTATTGCCTTTATAATTTTTTGATTATAAAAAGGTAAAGTACTATTAATTATTNACAGACTGAAACAGGCTCCAGGCTCTGAGCTGGCAGTCAGCACAGAGCCCGACGCGGGGCTCGAACCCACGAACCGCGAGATCATGACCTAAGCGAAAGTCGGACGCTTAACCGACTAAGCCACCCAGGCGCCCCTAAGTAAATAACTCTAAACAAATTATTACATTTTACTTGGCTTTGAACTTTATACATGTAAATATACATTATTCTGTAATATCTGGCTGCTTTTTTCAACATTATGTTTTTAAGAAGTCTCTTTGTTGCTATATATTGCTGTAGTTCATTTCCTTTGCTGTGTAATACTTCATTGTATTAAAAATTTGCATTTTTTTTATCAATTCTACCATTAATGGACACTTGGGTAGTTTTTATTTTGGGGTTATTGATGATTAATGCTACATTGAATGCTTATACACGTACCCTGCTGCATATAAGTACGAATTTCTGTAACATTTTTCTGAAGAGGAATTTCTAGGTCACTCTGACACTACATTCTACCACCCGATTTTTTAAAAATATTGAGCTGTGCTCCCACTAACAGGGTAGGGGAATTCCCATTGTTCCATAACATTGGCAATATTTGTTATTGTCAGTTTTTAATTTTTGTCAATCTGATGTATAGTGTTCTCTACTATAGTTTTCTTTTTGCGTTTTCCCATGTTTGTGAGCTCATTTTAGCTAAACTGGAATCTGCTCTTTGAAATGTATGAACATTTACGAATCTTTTAAAGACTCTGAAATTAAGATGGCTGCTCCAAAAATCAGAGGAACCAAGTTTTAAATATAGAATTAAAATATTAAAGTGTTTAATGACTACCCTTATGAAGCTAATTCTGAAACATAACTTGAGTTTTTCATGAAGTCTCATGCTGGTTGGACTCCATTTGTGTTTCAAAGTTCATAAGAAGCAACTTTTTGAAATATTTCTCAGATAAGTATCTTTGTCCAAATCCAATAACTCCCCCAAGTCATAACTAATGACTGCATCAGACTCTGCCCATGTGATCTGTTTGGAATAAAGTTGCAGAAGAATGAAAAAGACACCTCAGTAAACCCACCCTCTTGTCCATCTATCTCCCCTGACTCTGTATGTACCAGGGCAGGGTGATGAGGATGGAAAGGAGGACTAGGTGACTGCTGCCTCTCTGATCCTCAAGAGCTGACCTGGCTCAGCCCCCGGCCAGCTGGTACTCAGATTTCAATTGCTTCTCCCCTTGCCTTTCAGGGAATCAATCATTATTTTGTGGCTGTTTTTTCTTATTTATGGAAAATTTTATGAGGAAAATGAAAAAGAGGATTTATGTCACACAATGTACCTACTAGAAATGTTCACAGCCAACTTTTCTGCTCTGTCTGAAATTCCTTCTCTCAGGGCTATTACCCACAACCCTTCTCTCTTTTCCTACACTCATTCTGGTCTCTCTTGATGTCCTGAGCAATCATTTCCACCCCTTAACGTGCAATTTCTGCTCAGAAATACAAAAGCCCTTTAGTTCACATGACCCCACTCTTCATAGAAGGCAGTGCAGTTCGATTATTATCCTAACATGCTTATGGGGGGGTCTTATCAACCATCCATTATACTTTATAACATATTCTTCTTAGCCACAGAAGATGTTAAGACAAGGTCTGATAAATACGTCTTTGATATCTCTTTATATCAACTTCCACATTTGATTCAAACCTTTAATCAAATCCATTAGCCTCACCACCACCACCCACCCCTTGCCAGAAGAGTTAACATGAACCAGCAGGAAATGAATGACTTTCCCTTGTCTTTGGCCTCCAGTAAATTGCTCTGAAGGCAAGTAAGAGCACGAGGTAGCAAAAGGATAAATGATCCAGATGACAAGGCTATGAGTGAGCTCTTAACACTCTGGGCTTGGGGTAGAGCATCCAAGACCTGAATGCAAGCTCTGTTGATACCTTGCCTTCCCTTAGTCTCAGGTTTCCTGCCCTGGAGCACTGCGCTACTGGTGGGGAGGCTCTGCTGCCAGAGAAGCAAGAGGAGTGGAAAAGACGCACGGGCCTTCTGCTCTACCAGGCCTACGGACAGTCAGAAACAGTAAGTAGACAGTCCTTTCTGGGCCTATCAGTGTGTGCTGAGCCATGGAGCCCAGCATGTGTGTGCAGAGGCCCCACCCCGTTCACAGCATTGCCTGAAGACAATGGGAGGCTTCAGAGTTTTACTAATTTGCCCCAAATCAATTTGTACAAAGACATTTCACAGCTAATCAGTTTGTCAAGAGGCCAATGTGCTGGAAACTATTGGATGAAGACTTTCAAAGGGGTCTAAGGACATGATGCCACTGTGTGTGTGATCATTAAGCTCTATGGAGATCATCAAGGGTGGTGGGATGGGAGGTTCTCTCCAGTAACAGGGAGGCCACTAACCTCAAGTTCTGCCCACTTCACCATCCCTTCCTAGGGAGGCAACCACAACACCAAGAGTCAGCCCCAGTATTTCATTTCTGGGTGTTTAGGTGGACAGCACACAGGTTTGATCATGGCACACTAGCTGGAGTGGAGGAGGGAGCAGAGACTTTCTGTATATACCAAACACACACACACACACACACACACACACAGAATATGATTCTCAAAGGCATCACTGAGCAGACATGTGGTAGGGCACTCAGTATCATGCATGTCATAAACTATAAAAACTTTATCAATGACAGCAGAGGCACATGTCTCTCTTCCTACACATTCTCAAGCCATTTCTATTGCTGGACAGGGCCACTTCCCCAACTTCCTTATTATCCCCAAGGCTGACAGAAGGATGACTGCCATCTCAGGAGCTGCAGCAAAATGGCTGTTTTAGCCTCAGTGCACATACTTCACTGACTTTTTTTTGGGAAAAAAATTCATGTGAAATAATCAGTTAATTGTTCTGCCTCCAGGCCTGAGAAATATTTAGATTCCACCCTTGTCCTGTAAGGTTCATAGTTTATATTTGGACAAAGAGGAGGGTGGTAGAATGGGAAGTACCTACACCTATGACATCAATTATTTGCAACAACAGACGGAACACCCCCTTATATCTGAGTGGTGCTTTATATCTCAAAGTACTTTTATACCTACTGACTCTGCTAAGGAACATTTTACATATGCCTGTACTGTGAGCAGCAGCATAGCAAAGGGGGAAAAGCTTCCCTTCCTAGGAACTCAGACAAGAGTTCAAATATCAGCCTTGCCAATCACAGGCTTCAAGACCATATGCATAGCATTGAACCTTCTAGAGTCTCTGCTTCTCCATCTCCAGAATGGGCGTATAACCCAATCTTGCTGGGTTGTATTAAGGGAAATGAAAGGATGTATATGAGGCTCTGGCTACAATGTCCAACTACTAGTATATGCTCACCTTGCAGTTACTCTTGTGTTTAAGCAGGTGTTGAACTAGAATGCTAGGGGGATGGAGTATAGAAATGAATGGGGCAATCTCTATTATCAGGATGCTTGTTATCCACTGAAAGAAACACACAAGCAAAGTAAGTATAATGCTCTGATGACTGTAATGGAAGGATGGGGGGAAATACTGCAGAAGGAGAATCTCCCAACAGACTTTTCTGGGGGCTGAATAATAGCTAGTAGTGGTTGTTTATTGAATTAACCTGATGTGCCTGGCGCTGGGTGAAGAGTTTTCCACACACCCAGGTACTGTGAGAGATAAGTGTTATAATTACCCACCTTTAGGAGGAGAAATCAAAGAAGATTAATTGGCACACAACTGGAGTGAAGATTCATATCCATGAAACAAATCCTAGCCTACTTAACTTTAGAAAAAAAGATATTTTAGAGTACCATAAAGGAGGAATGTTGGTCATCAGGAAAATAAATGGGATGGGGCAGTTCTTTTACCAAAGGACCAACACAAATAATCAGAATACCTTCAACACAGCGCTGAGTGATTGAGACAAGGTTCATGTCACTGTTCAACAGCCCCAATAAATGCTAATGGTTTCATGGCCTTACACTAGCAAACGGACACATATCTGACATACAGTGGGCACTCCACACCTCACATTACATGCCCACAGGTGCAGTGAACATCTGCTGACCAGAGTTGGGTCAATGCCTTGCACCTTACCTTGAATCTGGGCCTTCTAGCTTCCCCACAAGGGCTCTTTGCACAGCCTCAAATGACCTTGGTGAGCAATGATTCTGTGGATATTTCTTGATGCTTTGTATTCAGTCTGGACTCTTTGTTCAACACCATTTTCTTCTGTTGTAAACAGGGAATAAGTTGTGGCACTTTACGGGGAATGAAGATCAAGCCAGGTTCCATGGGGAAAAGCATCCTCCCCTTCGATATCCAGGTTTGGTCCTAAAGGCATTGGCTGGGAATAGTTAGGGTTCAGCTGGGATCAGAAGTTGTGACACCAGGTGACCAAACCAGCTGTTCCCACCCCACTCCCCCGCCCCAGTTGCCATCCATTCTCCTCTCCTCCTATTTTCCCTCTGATTTCCTCGGGAGACTTCTTTTGAGAACTGCAGTATCCTGGGCACAAATGCAGCTGAGCCTGGCAGCTGGAAGCTTCACACACAACAGCTGGGACCAGAGCACCTGGAGCACCTGGCTACTCTCTCCATCAGCTGGTGCTTCTAGTTTTTCCTCACCTGAGCCTTCCAGTTTGCTGACACATTTGCAATGTTTGTATATCCATGAAACAAATAGACCAATAATGTTGGCTTCACCATTCGCTGATTTCAAAGACTTTTGACAGTTGTAATTTAATTTCTGACAGGGCTCCTCCCCCCACTTATTCTCACCAGGTTCACATGAATAGTCAGCTATTTTTTGGGTGGGGCAGGTGTGTTGGGGTGGCCCTGCTGGGTGGGATTCACAGACCTCTTGCTCCAGATCATTGATGACAAGGGCAACATCCTGCCGCTCAACACTGAAGGCAACGTTGGCATCAGGATCAAGCCCACCAAGCCCATAGGCCTCTTTATGTGCTATGAAGTAAGTGGTGACCCTCACCTGGCCCCTTCCAGGCCCTGAAAATCCCTGCAGGGAGTGGTGTGGGTGCTGAGTGAGTGGGGACAATTCAACTCTGCACCCTGAGCCTTCTTCGTACCTTCTGTCATTCACTCCAATTCAGTGAGGCTGCTGCTTCTTCTTCTTTTTTTTTTTTTTTTTTACAAATAGTTTATTGTCAAATTAGTTTCCACATAACACTCAGTGCTCATCCCCATAAGTGTCCTCCTCTGTGCCCATCAGTCCTCAGTTTTTGTCAGCATTCAAGAGTCACTCATGGTTTGCCTCTCTCCCTTTCCCCCACCTTTTCCTCCCTTCTTCTCCCCCTTGTTCCTCCGTTAAGTTCCTCCTAATCCTCCTATACGTGCAAACATATGATATTTGTCCTTCTCTGCCTGACTTATTTTGCTCCGCATAACACCCTCAAGGTCCATCCATGTTGCTACACATGGCCAGATTTCATTCTTTCTCATTGCCATGTAGTATTCTCAGTGAGGCTTCTTCTTAAAATAACATTTTTTTAATGTTTATTTGAGAAGGAGAAGGAAGGAAGGGACAGAGAGCAGGGAGACAGGGATTCCAAAACAGGCTGTAGGCTGTGAGCTGTCCACACAGAGCCACAGAAAGGGGCTTGAACCCATATATCGTGAACTCATGACTTGAGCTTATGAATTGGTCAGAAGCTTAACCAATTGAGCTTATGAATAGGTCAGAAGCGTAACCAACTGAGCCACCCAAGTGCTCCAGTGAAGCCTCTTATAATTAATCTCTAGTGTTCCCACATCCCTTCCTGTCCTAAGCCGTCTGCCATTTCAGTGCTGATGGGGGAGAATAGAAGTCTGGTTCCAGAAGTACCATACTTGGGTTCCAATGATCTTTTACAGTTGACAGTGTAAGCTTTAACTGGATTCACATCCTAACAGTCCCACTTACCAACGTGGTGTGCACATCTGTGAATATTGCTGAGCCTCCAGGGGGCACCTTTGTCTATACTTCACAAAGAAAGAATCTGCATTTTGGAAGAGTTGTATATCTTCCCCATGTCAAATAAATGGCAGCTCTAGGATTCAGCTCCACATCTATTTGGTCCCCAAACCCTATATAAGAATTCCAGGGATTACATAAAACTGTGATAGCTCTAAGAATACCTGAAACTCTTACCCCGGCAAACCCTGGCCTGATTAGTTGTGACCACTAAGAAGAATAGCTCAGCTTCCACGATTGGCCAAGGGAGAGTGGCAGACCTTGAAATTGATCTCAGACCCATGTCCTTTCTCCACAGTAGCAACCATTCATGTCACTGTTGTCACTCTATGAATGTGGCGGGGGAAGTGGGGCACTGCTCCTTTTGTGATATTATTGACCAAAAGCAAATATGCAGACCCTAGTCTTTATTCATTGTAGCACAATTTTAACTGTGTATAAAAGAGGAAACTCGAAACAGAGAGTAACACATATATAGTTCAGTGGTTCTCAGCCCGTCTTGCACTTTAGAATCATTTCAGGAGATTTAAAAATATTAATTTTGGGGGGCGCCTGGGTGGCTTAGTCGGTTGGGCGTCCGACTTTCGCTTAGGTCATGATCTCGCGGTTCGTGGGTTCGAGCCCCGCGTCGGGCTCTGTGCTGACTGCCAGCTCAGAGCCTGGAGCCTGTTTCAGTCTGTGATTCCCTCTCTCTCTGACCCTCCCCTGCTCACGCTGTCTCTCTCTCTCCTAGAAATAAATAAAACATTAAAAAAAAAATTAAAAAAAAATACTTTAAAAAAATATTAATTTTGGGATCCAACCACAGAGATTCTGTTTAAATTAAATGTCCAGATCAATGACATTTTTTTTCTTAATTGGAAATAACATATTTTGTTTATGAAGGTGTCTAGAGTCAATGCCAACACCTATGTATGTACCTCTTTTCACATGCTCTTACGATATAGGTTGTCATCTAGCCACTGAGTTTTGTTTGCTCTTTTCCTTTTTTTTTCATTTATTGAGATAAAATATATATAACACAGAAGTTACCCATTCCTCCATTTTTAAGCACCCAATTCAGTGGCATTGAGTAAATTCACGATATTGTATAGCAGTGACCACCATGCATCTGAAGAAAATTTTTTTCAACCCAACCAGAAACTCTGTTTTCATTAGACATCTTGCTCTTCTTCATATTCCTAGAAGTTGGTAACCTGTAATGTACTTTTTATCTTCAAGAATTTGCCTATTTATGGATGCCTGGGTGGTTCAGTCCGTTGGGCATCTGACTTTGGCCAGGTCAGGATCTCACAGCTTGTGAGTTCAAGCCCCGAATCAGGCAGAGCCTCGAGCCTGCCTCGGACACTGTGTGTCTGTCTCTCTCTCTGCCCATCCCCCCCTCACGCTCTCTATCAAAAATAAACATTAAAAGAAAAATTTTTTTTAATTTAAACTAATTGTCTTCTACAAAGGGGTGCCGTTATCTTTTCAGGACAACCCAGAAAAGACTGCCGAAGTGGAGTGTGGGGACTTTTACAACACCGGGGATAGAGCAACTATGGATGAAGAGGGCTACATCTGGTTCCTTGGGAGGAATGACGACATCATCCATGCCTCTGGGTAGGTATCGCTGACCTGTGCCTGGAAGCATCACCCTCACATGCCTGAATGCATCCAGCTTATCCAGACGTTTGTCCATGCATTGGTGATTTGACCTTCAAGCTAATTCTGAACAAAGCTTTGTCAAGAGGTCCTCTTCTGGGGATATCTGTGTATCTTCCCCAAGCCCTGCATCCAGAAGAATCAATCTAAGTGAAGTTCAGCAAAGTCTTCATGGGGAACATAAGACATTACACAATTTAGAGACGCCAGGGTATCTCAGTCGGTTAAGCATCTGACTTCTGCTTGGGTCATGATCTCGCAGTCTTTGAGTTTGAGCCCTATGTCAGGTGCTGTGCTGACAGCTTGAAGCCTGTAGCCTGCTCCAGAATCTGTGTCTTCCTCTCTCTTCTCTCTCCCTATCTTGTTCTCTGTCTCTCTCTCAGAAATAAATAGAGCATTAAAAAAAGTCATTATACAATTTAAAGGATTTGGCAGGTAGACTTTACTTTGGCATCTACTGGTTGAAGAAGCTTATTCTTTTTTTTTTTTTAATGTTTATTTATTTATTTATTTATTTTTTACAAATAGTTTATTGTCAAATTAGTTTCTACATAACACTCAATGCTCATCCCCAAAGTGCCCTCCTCCATGCCCAT